ATAAATAAATTAGTGCATAAGAAACGATTAATCTTTTTTTTTTACAATGCGTTCAAAACTGCCTCCAGAGGGGTATTTTTGAATATAAAGAGTGCTTTTTTAAAATATAAATAAAATATATATATTATAATATTTGCTTCAATGTGATTTATTATTATACATCAATATCTATAGCTACTAGCACAACAAAAATACAAATAGTTTCATTACATAGTAATTTATGAGCTGAGAAGAAAGTGTTCAAAACTACCCCCTATCCCTTATACATATACATACATATGTATGTATATATATATATATATAATAAATGAAAAATACATTACGGTTGCAATGTGCAGCATATTAGCAAAATTAAAAATTTATTTATTCTCAGATAAAGATTAATAGTTCGATTTCAATATAAAAATAAGTCGAAAATATAAATCAGTGTAACTCGAAGTTTATTTGCGCAATTTTTCAAAGTGACGAAATAAAGCTTTTAATGTATTCATAAATATAGATTTAGATTTCATAAATTAAATTGGAAAAAACAAAAATAAAAAAATTAGCAATTCCTTAATCCAATCCTTAATTAATAGTTCACAGTACTCATGCATTGCCCATCAAGATATTTTTGACGAGTCTCTCTAACGCGCGAGAAACTATATGCGATATTAAATTTTATTTCCATTTCGAAACGTTTCCAAAGACGTTACACTTTCTAACTAGTCTCATTTTAATGATATTAAATCGAGAGAGACACATTACATTTTTTTATACTTTGTAATTCCTCCTTCCAAGGAAGGAGTTAAAATTTTGAAAAAGTATTTCAATATATGTATATGTCATAAAATTTATATTGTTTAAAAATTTGTTTATGCACGCGTAAAATATAACAAATTCGTTTTAAAATAATTAATCGCTGAGCTCTGTATTTTAAATCGTTTAGAAATTGGAGCATTCTAAAGATATCGTAACTTCAGAATTCGCGTAATTAAAAAATTCCGTGTATTTTTCGAAAACATGATTTTAGCATTAAAACTTGATGAAAATACATGTCTTAATGTTACATATAAAAACAAAAAAAATGTTATGTTAATATTATGTATGAGAACAAAAAATTCCATTTTAATATTACGTATGAGAACAAAAAATATGCATTTTTCTGTCGTCCAATTTGATATGGACAATTGATAGTATGATATAGAGAAGGGGAAAAAATCCCGATATTTCCAATTATTTATCAAATCAATAAATATTTCATCAATTTTTTGCAACCGCAATGGTACCAAGTTTTCTATTGTCAAATCTTATGCCTTGAGAAAAGAAAAATACTAACCTCTTCGTGATTAATTTCTTTCTCTTTACTCAATTTATTCGCTCGTTTCCGAGCTATCTCGTCTGCCGCTATTCTCTGTTTCGCCAGAAAATAATAACAATCTGTACATGTGCATTTTTGATATTTGCAATACTTTTTGTGTCCCTCGAGCACAATTTCCAGTCCATGAACATCACATCGCCCGCACATTGGTTTCTTTCGCCCACTCTCCGTTCTAGGAATGTCTACTAACGAAGATATCCTTTTTTTCGCCTTACCCATATCGCTCGCAGAATATTAATGGATGAAAAGCCGATCTCCTGTTTCGTTGTCACAATAATCGTGATCGGCTTTCTTATTGAGATCGAAAAAACGTATTCGAACGTATCTGGTCTCGCTCAAATGAGATAACGGCGATAATTGTTATCTATTACTTTATATGTAGAATTGCAAATCTTTTGTATTGCCATCCAGATATCCATGACTCTATTTTCTGAAATACGCAATAAATTATTTTTATCGTTTAAATGATAAAAAAATAATTAAATAAATTATTTCAAGCTTTTTAAACAAATGACTTAGAAATAATATATTTAAATAGACACAAATAATTCAATATAACAAACGTTTCGGCTTACAAAGCCTTCTTCAGTAATAATATCAATGTCATAATCCCCCTAACGAACATATGATCTCCAATCCTATCGAACGAATTATTTCAAGTATAGTAATACTTATTACAACAGAGGCTATGTGTGTTTAGTTCTTATCAAAAGTCAGTATAGCATGTTATTATGAAACATTATAAAGAGAAAAAAAGGACTTCAGTCAAAAGATTGTTCCATAATGTTCAAGAACAGAACCTATCAAACTTCTCGACCACCATCGAGAATCCAGCCCATCACAGACTCGAACAAATCGCCCCGAAAAGCTTTCCCTCCACACAGCCATTCCACCAGACTCTGCAGAACAAGTCTACAAACCGTGATAAGCTCATTGATAAGATAATTATAGAATCAATCAAACTTACATACATAGCTCACATTAATTCGTATAAAATAATGTATTAAACCGCCAATTTCCAATCCAAGATTTTGACATTTTCCCAATAAAAATTGTGATTTAAATCAATAATATGTTTAGTGATCACTGAGTATTTAGACTCATCTAATTTTATATTATTGCAATGATCTTTACAATAATTACACACATTATACTTCTTATTCGTCTAACAATCAACTTCTATTTTAACGTACATATTGTTAGTGTTCACTTGGGATAGGTTTAATATTATTATTTTATACAAATTAACGTGAGTTATATAAGTTTGATGTATTTGATTTTTTAATCATTTATTTCTTATCATGGTTTGTAGATTTGTTCTGCAGAATGTGATGGAATGGCTGTGGAGGCTTCTCGGGCCGATTTATTCGGATCTGTGACGGGTTGGATTCTCGATGGAGCCGAGAAGTTTGGTAGGTGGTTCTGCTTTTGAACGTTTGGAACAATCTTTTGACTGAAGTACCTTTTTCTTCTCTTCATAATGTTTCGTAATAATATGCTATACTGACTTTTTGATATAAGAACTAAACACTAAACATACATCGCCTCTGTTGTAATAAGTATTATTTGAAATAATATTCATTCGATAGGGGATCAAATGTTCGTTAGGGAGATTATGATATTAATATTATCACTAAAAAAGGTTTTGTAAGTCGAAACGTTTGTTATGTTAAATTGAATTATTTGTTATCTATTTGAATATATTATTTTTAAGTCATCCTTTTAAAAAGCTCGAAATAAGTCACGATACCATTAAATTGTGTTGTAGTCATACGAGACCTGTATACTTTAATTTTAAAATAATTAAAATTCAAGAATTGTTAATAAACTGTGACAATATAATCATATCCTAGCAGATACCACAAAATAAGGAAAAGGCGACTTCATGAAAACTGATTTCATAAAGTGACTTTTAATACATCTAAATTTACAAAATGATCGTAATAATATCAATTGTACGCGAGTCAATCATTGTTCTATTATCATGATCAATGTAATATATCGTCAAATCCATAGAATACTTAATCTATATATATTCATGACGCAATAGATTCATGACGCAAAGTGACTTCTATTATTTATTTTCGCGATGATTGAAATTATAATAATTAAGAGCGTGCTAAATTCGATCGATTTATGAAACAACAAATGTTACTTAGAAAATAAAAACATACTTAGTATTACAGCATTATATAAAATATAATGATCGGTATTCATTTCAAAAAGATAAAAATAAAATCTTCGATTAATTAAAGTAACTAATGCAGAATCGCGTAAGTTTATCTGTATTGTAACTGGCACATGATATATTGGAAGCAAATTAGTAGTCGTATAAGTAATCTAATATTAAACAGCAATTAAACATTACGTGCCTATCGATGTTGGCTAGAATTGATGAAAAGGACGATATTATAAAAATATATCTCATGTCATTTGTTCTAAAACATTTGTGCAACAACGAAATTCGGCAAGACTTATTACTCATGTTTTTCAAGCCTCGAGATAAAAGATAGCCTGAAATGGATAGTGAATAGCTCTGGATCTCTACAAAAATCATGATAAATCTTGACATGACTAAAACTACTTATAAAGGACGGAGAGTCACGACCTCATGAAGGTAAAGATATGTTTCTCCTGGCATCGCTGCAGATGGTCATGGCAAGTGAGGTGAGGTAAAAAATACATCATACTACATCAAAACCTGTTTGGTTAAACATTTGTAAATGATGAAAGATCGCAAATCGCAGATAAACAGGACATTTAATTAGACTAAATAAAATAAAATTCAGATTCCCTAGATTTGATAAAAGATGTTGACTTAAAACTTATTAATTTCATCATAATAATTTATACCATGTAATGTTCACCATAATTAATTTATTATACATATATAATATAATTTTTGATAAATATGACTAAACATAAAATAATAAACTAATAAAATAGAGATACAATAAATTCGAATTAAAATTAATTATTTAAGACGTTTACGTTAATTAATGTATAAGAACAAAACAAAATTTATTAGATAAAATGTTAATACGTTTGCTTTCGCCTATAAAGTTTAGCCCCCACTTTTAGAATTTAATTTATTTTGAGAATTATGCTGAATTATATACTAGATTTGTGCTTCATCGTGCCCGAATAATAAAATCATCATATAAAAAATATAAAATCATTATGTTAAAAATAAAAATAGTAATTTTTAGGACAGTTCTCCACTTTGCGTTTTTTTCAATTATTTAATTGTACAAGGTTGTGCTAACTCTGTGCTAAAGCATCACCTAATAACTAATGCGAACGTAAACGTTGGTTGTATTCAAAATTGTCGAAAATTATTTTTTGTCATAACTTCTGTTGTTATTATGATTTAAAGATAATACTTAAGCTTAGCACAATGTTAGCACAATGTTAACTTAGTACAACCCAGTACAACTTAAAAAATTGTAAAGTGGAGGGTTGTCCTAAAAATCATTTTTTACTATTCTTTAACGTATTTTTCATATTACGATTTTATTATTCGGATATGAACCTAGCAATTCAGCACGATTTTCAGAATAAGTTACTTGTAATTTCGCATATAGACTTTCAAAAGCAAGAATGCCATAGAAGAAACATATTTCATGCAGAATCGCAGTACATAACCAATTATTTATTATATCATTACATTTTCTTTTCAAGAAACATGGAATCATGAAGGTATTTATTATTTAAAATTCCAAACATACTTCCTGGAAACTAAAGAATAATGTAAGTTGCAAATCACAACGCCGTATGTTACCAAGAAAGCAAGACAGACAAAATCATGCTTAAAAATAATTGCAGAAAAATGCATTACATCATACACATATATACACGTAATTGTTATATTAATGTTTATAAAACATCCAAAAATAAAAATCTTCGTAAATATAATATTATTTTCTATTATATCTTATAAATGAGGGTCTTATAGTCGCTTCGAAATATACATACATTATATATACGTAATTGTAATGATATTGAACAACTATACAATTTTCTTATATCTCTTATTGTATATTTCATGCGTGGTTATGTCTCAATTCCGCCAGTATAAATCATTACAAAATGTTATAAACTGACAATTTTTAAAAGTAGTTATAAAACGAAATCATTAATAGCCAATTAATTATAATATTGATACAATTAGATTATATTTTTTTAAATGCATATCTATGTATAAATCCCATGATAAATATTCAAGCTAAATGATAAATATTCTTTGCAATATTGGAGACTAAAATTATTTCTTCCATTTATAATATATAAACGTATATTTCCTTTTGCAATTCTAAGAACAACATTTAGTGATATATACTTCGTTGCGGCCGTATTTGTATCTCATTTTTTAAACGTAGAAACATTCAATTCATTATAAATTTTAAGTTTTAATGTTACTAACGTTGTAGAAAATCCGTCAGTAATGATATAATTCTTATGGCACAAGTCATATTGGTAGTGATTGTTGCTTTTCGATTGTTGCGTTACGATAATAATAATGGCGAGAATTTAAAATCCGTATGTGATACGCAAGTATCGCTTATAGAGTTAAATAATTCACAATATATTTCGCAGTTTCAACTAATCGATTATACATATACATCGGTTTATATTAACTAGAGGTAACACAAAATTTAGTATAGAATTGCAAAAAGAATCCCGAATAGCATAATAATTTTAATATTAAGATATTAAACTTGCATAATAATATTAAAGGATATATTCGCAATTAGTTACATAATCATTTAACTTTATTCGTGATTCTTAAAAAGAAGCACATCCAGAGAGATTTCAAAAATTTAATATATTTCTGTAATCATCATCTTTTTTCGATTACGCTTTATTTTTCTATTGTCAAAAAGATTCATGATATTTCTATTCAGTCTTGCACTGCATATTGCAAAGAACATTTATCTGCATAAATAATATGTAAAGACTTTAAAACTGAACTGTCTTGAAAACTTATCTTGTGCTAATTATATATAATATATTTAACTATATACGCGGTGCGAGAGAGAGGCTCGAGATAAATCATGCGTATGCTGTGTTATCGGGATATCGAATGCGATCTTCGCGAATAGATTCGCGATAAAGCAAGAAGCACAAGCGTGGTAAGAAGCGAATACATTCTGTCTAGTTACATTGTATCTCGTTGCAACTTTTTAACTAACGATGACTTCCTGGCACGTCGACAGAGATGCCATCGGTACAATCACTCGCAAAAGTCGTACTTTTAGGTAAACTACGAGAACAAAAAATTATACTTTCACTATAACACACACATACACTTTTGCAGTTTCTTGTGTACATTATTCTCATTTATGTTATCATCGCTCTCCTGAACTTTCTTATGTAATTATTTTATACTACTCTACTGTGCTTCAATGAAGTATATGCTGATGCAAAAAAGGATTAAAGTTACATATTTAATTCATATTTAACTTAAATGTAATGTTTCAGATAACATAAAATCAATAAAATTATATTAAAAATATACAATTATCTATTTAATATTTGCTTAAATACTTTCGCGAGTGACTGTATCGTGCGAGAGACCTCGCCTAATCTAACTCAGATTTCTTTTTAACTTTATTCTAATGTGTCGTCACACATTAACCTGTTGATCTGTGCGCACCTACTGTCCTCATTTTTTCTAAGTTTTTTATTCAAGAAATTTGCTGTTATTATTATTTTTATTATCAATATTATTATTGATATTTAATATCATCCTTATTTATAACATTATTACTCGTAGTTATGAGTAAAGTACTTATTATTGCACTGAGAAAAAATTCCGATTGAAAATGGACAAAAAATTTTGACCATATCAATCAGAATTCTAGTTATTCTTAGCTATAATTATAATAAATTCTGTCTTTTTTGACAGAATTCTACCTTTATAAGAAAAATCTGATTCGTTCATTTTCAACCAAAATTCTAATGTAACTAGACTGCTTTTCTAGTGTAGTTATTAGTAGAGTTAAAAAGTAACTAGTTACTTGTGACTAAGTTACAGTTAGGTCAGTTTTCACAATATATATGGTTATCTAAAAATTAAAGATTATCAAGAGATTCATTCATTGGATCTTAAAGACATTTTTTTCTTTTTCGGTAACTCTAACTTAACTTTGTTTCTTTTTCTGTAGCTGTAACTAAATTTGTATATACAATGTTGTTAGTTACATTTCTTTTAGTAACTTTTAGTAATAATTTAAATTATTTTTACACATTTTAAACTTATTTTTTGTTAATTTAACGTGATTGGTTAGAATCTAAATAGGTGCACTACTGCCGCTACTGGTTGTTAGAAGATAAAGGTTACATTCAGAAGACAAATAGTAATTTAATTTTGTTTATTGTTTATCTTATCTTTCGTAAACGAATTATCTCTACAAATATCATATTAATAATAGCGTTTTTACAATTTAATCCTCTTTATTGTCAATGTTATTATCTGCATGAACGTCGTAAGATAGTAAGACGTAAGCAGTAAGTAAGCAAAGCGAGTCAATCACAGTAGAGAACATCAAATTAATGTCTTATATTTTCTACTATGATTGACAGATTCGTTTATTGCTTATATCTTACTGCTTTACGTTTTTCTGTATTTCTGGTTTAACACTTTTTTTTTTTTAAATAAAATATAACATGTAAAAACGTAAATCAATCTTTTTTTTTTGCTAACCCTAGTAATATCAAAATGTTACTTACGTTAGTTGTTTTATAATAATAACGGAAAAGTAACTAAAAAACGACTCTCTGAGTAATTGTAACTGTAACTCGTTACTTTTTAAAATTAGCAATTTCTAACAGTAACTAGTTACTTTTTGAAACAAGAAACTAGTTATTTTTATAAAGTAACTTTCTAACTCTGAGGATTCATTATCAATATGGTACCTATATTAATTTGCATTAATACCAGTTGATTAATTATAGAACATATATATATATATATGATACAATACAGGAAATTTCATAATTTAACATATTGACAAAACAATATATTACTAATTGTAAATGTATGAGATTGTTAAAGACATCTCTAATATATTTTTAATATAATCTAATATAATCTCTCTTTATACAAAAACTAAAATCACAAGTTTTCAAGACAATCAAATATATTCGTAAAACGTTGCAGAAGAAGGAAGATTCTATAAAACACTGCAAACGTATATTGCGTATACATTTTTAGGATAATATTTTTCTTGCGTTCGACATCCGAATTTCGTTGATGTACACATTACAGTTTTCTTATAAGACTATCAACGCCTGAATAAAAAATTGCGCAAAACCGATAAATAAAGTGACAAGACTGAGATATAACTTTATAAACTACTGCGGGTCCAAAGTAAAATAAAACGAAATTGTATAACGCAAGAAAGCGCAAGTTTCCTTGTCTATAAGCAATTGAAACTTCGCGTCACTGAATTTGACGATAATATCATTGCACTTCAGGTAGGCATCATGATATATTGCCACACAAGGACCATGTCAAAATACATTGTATTTACAATAAATTTATAATGAATTTCTTCATTATAAATTATTGCAAGAGAAAGTAGTCGAAAGTTAATACCGGTAACACTCCGGACAAAGCTGCGCGCGCAAAAATAGAGTAACTTATTTTGATAATGCGTATATAAGGTTTTCTTTTAAAATAATTAATGCCAATTTAACTCTATTAATAAAAACGGTTATTTCTTTCTTTTTTTTACTTCTTTCAGTACTATGCTATTGCTAATTGCTTTTCTCCTTTGGTAATAGGAGTTGTTTATGCTTTACCGAAAGTTAGCGCGCGCAGCATTTACATTCAATTACAACCAGACAGGCAAAAACAAATTCTTTACGATGGAAGGAACTCACCCTGTCATCTGTCTTTCTTTCTCCCTTTCGCTGGCTCTCGCTGGCTGTTCCGTATAATGAAGGCTTTGGATAAATTGACGGTGCTCGCGTGAGGGTCCACTGGCTCTCGTCACACGCGAGCAACACTGTATCTAGTAATCACGCGAGATCCGCCGGTGCGGCTCGGCGCGGCGCACTTGATCGAGAAGAATCCCTTTATTCCGTTTGTATCTCGCATGCGGAATTCTTCTCGCGTAATTTATCCGCAGTACCCTGGGTAAATCATACATGCATCGAGTAAACGTTTTATTGTGGCGCCGCTTAACTTCGTTATGTAGTCTTTGCGATGCACTCACGTTGCGAGGGCACTTCGCGATCGTATACGCAATACGAGCAACGGGAGCAGGAGGAAATTAAGAGAGAGAGAGAGAGAGAGAGGGAAGGGAAAAGCGCGGCAGGAAATCTCCACCTCCGGAAATGAACAATTCTTTCTTCTTTTCCACCTTTCTCGTATAAGCTTTCTCGTATCTCGTCCTCTTTGCGCACCTTTTTTCTCTGCTTTATTCTCTTACAAGAAAGATACGTGCATATATATATATATATATCTCTCTCTCTGAATATTATTGTCCTTCAAATTATTTTTTTATTTTTTTGTACCATGCAGATACAATCTACGAGCACGAAGGTGCAAGCCGGCAAAAGATAAGTAATAGCGCAACAATTAAAGCGGGCGGCAAAACCGCGGGCACTCGTATCGCACACGCGCACTTCGTCCAAGGTTTCGTTTCTCCTCCGCAGTGCATATCATACTGGACTATCGCTCTTGGATCGTCCTTCAAACGCGGATATCTTTCCTCTCTACCCGTCGTCGACGTTGTCAAAATATCTTCATCAATTGGTAAATTCGCAAACTCCGAACTAGTTATGTGATTTCCCGTGAAATCGCTGCGCGAGTGCAATGATACCAGCGTGAGATTGCAATGCGGTGACGAAGAAAAAAAATAGCAAAGCGAAACGGGATACACAGTCGGGATCAGCCGAGAGACAGCTGTCAATACAAACGATGCGCACTTGCATGCAGTCCGTAACTTACTAAGCCCGCTGGTAACCAGGGGTAGTGAACGGGAGGGATTTTTCCCACCACTGAGCCATCTCCATCACAAGTGCAGCGGAGACCACGTGACTGGCTCGACAGTCTCGTACTTAAATAGAATGTAGGGCGCTATTGGGGCCCCGTATACATGTTACGATAATTTTCTTTTAGTATAATATAAAAAAATATATCAAAAACGATCAGATACGTGAGTGTACATTGATGTGTGTGTGTGTGTGTTATGAATAAAATAAATTGATTATTTTATTAACACATAAAATTGATATTATCTTTCCTCTCTTTGCAGTTTCATAAGATCCTTAAATCAAATTTCTTTAAATGCATATTATACATTAGAAGTAGCTCTAGAAAGCATGATCTGTGAAAAATAAAAGATTACAATTTTTATTTTAAATCCGTCCAAGCATTTGTAAAATTTATTACGTAGATTTAAAAAAATTAATAAATGTTATTATTATAACGATCTAACAAATAGAGTTGTTTTAAGATTAAGTAATATAAATTTACAAATAAATTAAAAAAAAATAAATTTTAGCTTTTGCTA